ATATATATATATATATATATATATATATATATATATATATATATATATATATATAGATATATAGATATACATATATATATATAGCTTAAGATTTTGGTTTACGAAACACAAACAGTGCTCAATACCATATAGATAGAGCGTAATATAGTTTTTCGTTCATCCTGATGATTCCTATACGGATGAAACAGACTGTTGTGGTTTTTTGAGGTAAAACGAAAAACTATATATATATATATATATATTCGATTTGTTTAAGTCCATGTCTCTCCAGTCACAGCACCACCAACCCATCCTGGAGCGAGTGCTGTAATAAGAAAATGTACGACTGGATTCAATTCTAGATTTCCTGACCTATACCTTCTACTGGGAACCATTATCTTCTGAAGCCAAGAACAGAACTCAATTTCCTTTTCCATGTCATGAGGTAACGGTCGCCTCTCGTGATATAATCGACCAAATGTTGAATTTAGACACATTTTACTTTTGTCTCTATGAATAGTATCAATATGAAACAATGGTTCCTCTTGTGATTCCTGGTTATTGCGACATAATTCGTCTTTCCAAATTGCGGGGTGGAAATGAAAGATATCACTAAATAATGTTCTTTTATCAGGAAGACCATCTTTGTCCCAAGGTATCAGGAAAACGGCAATGTCATGACCCATCCCAGATTCATTACTTGAACATTGATAACCTAAAGCAAGTATATAGAAAGATAATTACTACAAAATCTTGTTTACAGACTAAAAACGTCCTGACGCTACGAACCTGCAGCGACTGAAAACCATAATTGACACCTTTAAATGCTGGTTAGTATAGGTAATAGCATGGTTTCGAGTGCAATTTGGATATAACATGCACGAGTGAGTTTTTCAAAGACCTCAAAATAGCACGAGTCCGAAGAACGAGTGCTATTTGAGGTCTTTGAAAAACTCACGAGTGCATGTTTATCCAAATTTCACGAGAAACCATAGTCCATAAAGTTTTCCTGGCTTTGTTTTATCACATTATACAACGCTAACAGCTTGATCCATTTAAAAAAAAAAGATAAAAGCCATATTTTACAACCGAAGTCAACTTTTACTTTATGTAGCGCGGCGCCGTGTTAACTTTGTTTTTTGAAGCAATCTGTGACCGTTACTTCTTTAAACTAAACTGCTTTAAACTGATTGGTTGATTTTATCATCACATTGTTTTTCCACCAATCAGATCAGTTTGTTGCAGATTTTTGCACTGTGATTACAGAAAATTGCACTGTTGTTTGGGATTAACTGCACTGAAATCAAGCAATCACAGTTGAGTAATATTTTTTATGTATATTATTACAAACAGTAACAAAGCATTATTATAAAATAAGATTCGCTTCAAAATAAACGTTTTAATGTGCTTCGGGGTGTTGATCCTCGGGTAAGGGCTCCTATACAAGCTGAACGTTATTAACTGGGGCTTCGGTGGCCAAGTGGTTAGCGCACTTGCCTTTCACCTCTGAGGCTGCAGGTTCGAGTCTCACTAAGTACCTTCTCAGTGCGACTCGAACCCAGTCCCCATGTGAAAAGAGTAAAAGTCAACGCTCTGCCGAAAGCCGCGGGTTTTCCCCGGGTACTCCGGTTTCCTCCCACAGGGAAAGTGGACAAGGGTGGGTTAGGTAAAAAGGGCCCACAGTAATTGGCATATGCTGTTGTGGTGACCCTGCCCTAGTTGGCAAAGCTAAATAAATAAATAAAACTGTTCATCCTCATCAGATGAAAACTGCATGGTCGGCTGCACTTGGAAAATATTGGCAACCTTTCGCAAACATGAAAGATTCACGCTAGCATTGGCAAAGATTTTATTGTTCATCATGTAGTGTTGGTACATTATTAAAACATACCACAACTACAGGGCAATCGGGGACTGCATATACCATGTACACATTTTTGCTAATTTCTCATCCAATTTTAACGAAAATTTAATCAATTTGTCCTTGGGCAAAGTCCATTATTAGTCCCACAAATTTTCGTGTTAATACTCTTGATATAAAGTGTTTATGCAACGAAATTTCACGCAATTGTATTGTAAAAGAATTCAGAATGACCAAAAGTACCAGACTCTCTTAGCTTGCTTCGTTCTTGAAATATTTAACAATTTATGATAAGCAAATTATCCTCACTATGACGTCACATTGCATAATAACTTTCTAATAGAACTTCATGATGTTGGGATATTGTGCATGAAAATCATAAAACCGTGACATAATACATATGACAACCATAGATATCTTATACATGCAGCTATTCAATTAAGGTTGTCCCCCGAGCAAAGCGGAAAAGTCGAATACGAGCGCGAAAGGCTGCTGGGAATCGCTAATAAATTAATGAATTTATTAGCGATTCCCAGCAGCCTTTCGCGCTCGTATTCGACTTTTCCGCTTTGCTCGGGGGACAACCTTAATTGAAATAGCTGTATACACTAGATAGCGCATCTCTTTTAGTAAAATTGAAGCCAAGAATATTCCAGCGGTTACCCCATTTGAATAGATGGCGGCCATGTTGTGTTTCCCACTTGCTAATAAACGCTTAAAAAACAACAATAACTTTCATCATTTGAATAGTTTAAAAATGTATTTGGAATAGGTTTACCTTAATAATTAAGTTCCGTGTTTAAGAAATAGAAAACATACGAATCTTCTCATTTCATGGGAATATCCTGAGTCTGCAATCACGGCTTCAATTTTCGAATTGTAGAATAATTAGATGCACTATCTAGTGTATATAAGATATCCATATCTATAATGACAACACGCTACGAACATATATTATGTCGACAAATTTGAATCATTATGTATACAAGTTATAAATTTTTTTTTAAATAAAAAAGCAATTATGCAATTTGACGTCACAGTGAGGATAATTTGCATATCAAACCAAGGGCGGATTTTCGTATTTTTCTCTGGGGGGTGCAAAGATTTCAGGGGGGGGGGGGGGTGATGATCATGTGCAGGGGCGGATCCAGGGTTTTTGATGACCGATTTACTAGGTTCACCCAACTAATATGGGGTCCGGGGGCATGCCTCCGGGAAAAAAATTAAAATTTGGGGCTCTGAAACAGCATTTCCTGCGTTCTGGCGTCACTTTTAAAATTAATTTAATGATTAGAAAATGCATGTTTTTAAGTGAATTTTTTGCTAATACGCAGCTCAAACAATGAATTGAACCTTTTCCGAAGCGTATTAGCTAGTGCCTAGTGATAAAAATATAGGATCCGCTAATTGCTGACACATCGATTTAGATCTACACGCCTTCAAACCAACTCTAACGACGAACTAAAAACCAAACTGCAAGAGAAGAACGTGAAAGCTTCGCAATCATTTCCTGATTCTCAATCGCCAAAGCAATGATCAGTGGGTCTAAAAATGCTCGGTAGTTCATAATCAAATTTCAATAATAGATTAGACAACATCAATTTTATGAAACAAAATATTCTTTAAATTAGTTATATACATGGAAGGTTATAGATTTTCTTTCTTTGGAAAATCTGACAGGTTTATGTAAACCTGTCAAACCTGTCTGAATCCGCCCCTGATGTGAATGTGCGAAAGCGTGGTGCCGATGAGCACGTGAACTTATTTCTCGTAAGTGTGTTTTACTTTTACGTTAATTTGCTGCAAAAAAGCGTATATAGAAACATGTTAATTTTAATATTTCTATCTTACTTAACGGTAGCTTAATTTAGTGCATTTAAATTTTGGCAGGGACAGGGGGGTGCACATTTTTGTTGACGGGGGAGGGGGTGTGTGCACAATTTCTCGGGGGGGGGAGGGGTGGACCCCGCCCCCGCCAGAAAATCCGTCCTTGTATCAAACGTTAAATATCTCAAGAAAGAAACAAGCTAAGATAGATGCATGCCTAACGTACCTATATTTAACCATAGACAACCCAGAAGACAGGGACTGGAAACGCTATGGCAAAAGCAATGATGCGGGCGCGACATCAGTGATGCGCTTAAGGTGGTCTTACACAACGCAAAGTGGTATTTTGAGTTAAATTTGCCATTTTTCAAAAATGGAAAAAATACAAACTTTAAACCCTACTTAATCATATTTGTATCATTTTATTGCTCAAAAATACCTAAAAACCCTGAAAATTTAGCAAATTCGATAAATTTACACTTAGCAACGCCCATAGCAACCAGATACAGTAAACCTCCGACTATAAGCCCCCCCCCCCGAATATAAGCCCCCCGTGTATAAGCCCACCACATGTACTAACGCTCACCTCATTCCAAATATAAGCCCCCCCCCGAATATAAGCCCACCCGAATATAAGCCCCCCGAATATAAGTCCCCCAATTAATATAAGCCCAGTAATCGCTGCTTGATTAATACACGTTTACTCCCTGTTAATGACTGGCTTGTTTATGTCTGACTTGTTTTTTTTTGTTTTTTTTGTTTTTGTTTTTTTATCAGCTTTATTGGACATACATATAAAAGGTTACATATTATTATACAAACAAATAAAATTACAGGGTATACGTCCAATGGGGCTAGCGCAAACGGGACAACGAGACCCATGCAGGGCGCCACCCCTAAACTAAACTAGTGAAAACAAACTTATTGACTATACAGAATATATACATATATAACTTAGGACTTAAGTACGGTGACAAGGGCAGTCTCTTATGAGCGACCAAGTACATGTCATATCTACATTAAAAGTACTGTTCACCAAGGCGGTGTATGTCATGTGCAAAAAGCTTTTAAAAATATTTAGACTGGCAAACTTTTCTGGAGAGGCTATTTTACATATATAGTTCCAAGGCTTTACTATTCTATTAAAAAACGATGCCCCAAAGGTGGATGTTTTACAACAGGAGTGTTTTAGCATTAGGGTTGGATTCTGTGCGCGAGATCGATTGTGCTCTACGAAGGTTAAAAGTTGATTAATGTTTAAATCGGTATGACCGAAAATATATTTATAAACCAACACAAGATCTCTGATTTCTCGATCATAAGTTAGTGGCAATAGGTTTAGAGATTTCAGCCTGTCTTCATATGACAGCTCACCAACTTTAGTTCTTAGAATCCATCGAGTTGCCCGTCTCTGTACTCGTTCTAAGAGAATCTGCAACTTTGCGTTTGAAGGTGACCAAACCTCAGTTGCGTAGCACAGCTGCGACTTTACCAAGGCTAGATAAAGTGTTCGTCTAACTTTGGTGTCTGTGATGAGAGGACATGTTCTTTTCAGGAGACCGAGCATCCTGTTAGCTTTGCTGACGATTGAGGAGATGTGAGTGTCCCAAGATAGCTTGCTATTGACGATAACTCCTAGGTCGTTTTCTTGTTGAACGCGTTGTAAAATGGCGTTGTCCAGGTGGTAGTCCGTAAGTACAGGCGATTTCTTCCGAGTGACCGTTAATACCTTACACTTGGAGGCATTAAACTTCATATTGGAGTTATGACTCGAAGTATTTAGGTTCGATATGTCACGTTGCAGGTTCTCACAGTCACTTTGGGACGAAATAGAGCGGTATAATTTTGTGTCATCTGCATAGAGAGCTGAACTCGTCTGTTCCTGGATCGAGTCAGGTAAGTCATTAATAAAGATGACAAACAGCAGAGGTCCAACAAGGCTTCCTTGGGGCACACCAGAGGTGACTGGTAGGTACTGAGAGGCAACACCGTCTATCACAACTCTCTGATATCTATCGTTGAGATAG